CAGCAAAAACTGGGCACAAATCCAAAACTCATGGAGCTTGGCTGTATAGCAAAGATCCTGAAGAGGACTCATGGCCAGGATTTACATCCAGGCAAGATGCAGCCAAAATACTTAGAGGCAAAATGGGGTCCTCCCATGCTCAGCAGTCTCGAGCCAAAGGAGAAGGGCCAAGAGAACAGCACAAAGGCTGAAGTTGCATCAGCTGTAGCCCCATGAATCCACAGGGGTGAGCAGCACCTCCTGATTAGGGAGTTACCCCTTTGTACAAGGTTTTGGAAACCTTGCAGAGCAGAGACCAAATAAATCTTGGAGCTTCCTGGGGTCCCAGCTGCCAGGATGGCAGGCAGGGGTTGTTTGGGAGAGAGGAAAAGGTCCGAGGGGCACGTTTGGGGCAGGAGGGATGTGTTATTGTGAAGTGGGCATTTGTCTGCCCTGGAGGAAGGAAGCGGGAGGGCTCAGCCCCGCTCCCGAAGGCAGGTGCGTGGCTGAATTTATCAGGGGGAAGGAAGCAGGGAAGGAAGCAAGCCCAGAATGCTGGATGGCTCCATCAGACCTCACAGGCAGTCATGGAAAGAGGTCAAGGTGGCAATGCAGCTTCAGGGGGCTTGGCAGGCCACAGCTACCCCGGGGGATGGGTGCAGTGAGGCCCCCACCAGCTGAGGCACCCAGCTGGGTTTCCCCTGGCCATGCCATGCCCTGCACCCCATGCACCCCATGGCCCAGCATCACTCACACCAGAGAGATGCCTGCTCCCAGGCAGGGTGGGAAGGCTCTGCGTGCCTGTGCAGGACAGGACCCAGCAAAGGGAGCTGTGGCTTGGCTCCACTTATTCCCAGAGAGGCAAAAGGCATGCCCAGAAAAGTCTCCTTCAGCTACGCAGGACCAGGACCAGCCAGTTCTGCTCTCTGCTCCACCGAGTCCTGCATAAGCTCGAAGAGACGGAGTGAGAACTTCCTCAGCCCTGGATCAGAGGCCACTGGAGTCTTGGCATTTTGTAAGGCACAGGGAAAAAAAGCAGGCACAGATGAAAAAGCACTGGAGTCAGCATTTTAAGTGATGGTAGGAACATCATCCTTCAATCTGCACTTCCTTGATTGCCACAACGGCCACCTTTCATGAGCCAGGGTGTCTCCCTGACTGGTTTCCTGCTGCCAGGGAACCTGACAGTGACAGGGCTGGGTGGGCAATCCAGGGCTTTGTGACACTGATAAGGAAGAGCCACTGGCTGCAAAACGTGCTCCACTGCTCCTAGAAGGAGCTGCTGCCACGTCTCTGGGCTGGGGCTCTCTTCCAGCTGGAGGCAGACCACAGACAGCATGGAGAGAACGAGGTAGCTCCATAAAGTACCTGCTTCAGTCACCAAGTCCTTGCTGCAGGGACTGAAACCTACACGGGGTCATGGGGAGACTTGGGCTTCTCCTCCATCAACATGTCCACTTCAGGGCTACTAAAGACAGATGCATCCAGCTCAGGAAGACACTGGCCCACAAAATGCTTAAAAATCAGCCAAAGCGACCTGAAAAACAATTGCAAAATGTTTGCCCTCCCCAGGGCAGCTGATTAGGATCTCCAATACTCTCCAGTTCTTAGGGGAACTGTTGGTCTAACTCGGTGCAGCCCACCAGGTTATCGACCATATAGGAGCAGCCTGAGCATCTAAAAGGGTTTTTAGCGTAAAATTCACCCCAAGCTCACAAAGCTGAGCAGACAGGCTCGTGCAAGCTGCATGTGTGCCGGTAGCTCAGAATAAAGAGACAAACCTTCCCTCTAGTGGCTGCAGGGCACAGAAGCCTCACAGCGGCCTCCAGATGAGTTACTCCCCTGGCAGCAGTCAGTGGGATGGAGGATCAGGCCTGGATTTCTCTCGGACCTTTTTATTATGGGTCTTTGCCCCACTTTCAGCCTCCTGCCCACCACAGCAGCAGTCAGCACAGATCCGAGTGAGCTATTCAAGTCCTAACTGTAGCACAAGCACACATGTTAGCATATATATTACCAGAAGTACTAAAAGTTTCCACTTTCCCACTTACAAATTAGGAAGTTCCATTTCCACTGCATCAAACTTGCAGCCTACAGCTGAATATTCAAACAACTTCGTTTTCCATGACCAAGATGCTTTGGTTTGATGATGCAGCATCTCAAGACTACCAGGACATCTCATTTGATAATCCATATTCCTACACGGCTGTAGGAAAACAGATTATAATCTGGATGCAGCTCAGACAGGAATACAGTACACGAAGGAGCTGTCTGAAGCTTCCTGGCCTCCTGGAGAAAACACAGCAGTAATTTTTTGCAGGATTGTAACAAACACCAACCCCAGCAGCAGCAGATCTGGGAATACCTCCCAGGAGAGCGTGCCACTTCCAGTTTTGTCAGCCCTCTGCTATCTCCCTGCCAGCGCACACACAAGTCTGGGCAGCTTTTTGGTGCCCTGCTCCTCGGGGAGGGGGAACGCAGCGCCACATCAGCGATGCCAGGTCGGGTGCTTCTGTGCCAAGAGGTGTCCCCCCAACACCAGGCAGCCCTTGCTCCCTCCATCCATCCATTCCACCTCTGTGGGGACCAGAAAATGCAAAATGGCTGCAGGAGGTGGGATCAGCTTGTCCCTTTTAAAACCATTCCCATGCGTGCAATGCAAGACAGTTTCCTCTTCTTGACTTTGCCATTGCTGTCCGTCTTGAACCCTGGAGACATCCTCAGCTTGGGGCTAATCACATCACAGGCTGAAAAAACAAAACCACTTATAATTACAGGTAGCAAATGCTACAGTCTTTACTAGAGACTTTAGGTTTTTTTAGGCTCAGAAAGAAGGCCAGGTGATTTAGAAGCCTTGAATTTCCCTCCTGTTACCCATTATTCATCCAGGGATGTTATGTTACAGCTATATTAAAAATTAATAGAGCAACTTCTACTTCTTCAAAGCAGGAAGTGAATAATGAGCCAAAACTGCCCTTATTTCAGCTAAGGGAAAATGATAAATGGAGCACGAATGCAGTAAAAGGAAAAAGGCTCTTTAATAAAGGTGACTTGCTGCTCAGGTTATCACAGCCCTATCCACATCCCCTCTGGTCATTCTCCTCAGCACGTGCTCACAGACGTGGCACAATCAGAAACAAAAGGACGGCGTTACCAAGGAGCAAGTTGATCTTCTTGCAGTAAAGCCCCAGATGCAGCTCTTTGAAAACACCTTACAGCTCTCTGAATGGACCAAGAGCACATTCAACCTGTACAAGTCACTGCTAAAATAGACTTGAAAATAAAACCTTACAACCTACTGTTAGTGCTCAGCTGAATGCTGTTCATGTCCAAAAAATGAGGAACTATGGAGCGAGTGTGTTAACAGCAACAGGGTCCTACAGTTACAGGAGACAACAGATTGTGCAGGAGCACATCTTCACATCTGATCAAACCTCCATAGCTGGTCATGGTTAAGGATAGCACAGAAAATCTGATACCAGCCTTGCCGAAAAAATTGGTTGTCCTCCAACAGCGGGACAAGCTGTGTACCCTTCTTGCCTCTGTTTCTTTGGCAAAGGGGGGATTTGATGTGGATCTGGGAAATGGAATCATAGAATCATTTAGGTTGGAAAAAAACCTTTAAGGTCACTGAGTCCAGCCATTCACCTAGCTCTACCAAGTCCACTGCTAAACTGTGTCCCTCAGCACCACATCTACATGGCTCTTAAACACATCCAGGGATGGTGATTCATCCACTTCCCTGGGCAGCCTGTTCTGGGGCTTGACAACCCTTTCTGTGAAGAAATCTTTCCCCACATCCAACCTAAACCTCCCCTGGCACAACTTGAGGCAGTTTCCTCTTCTCCTGTTGCTTGTTCCTTGGAAGAGACTGACTCTCACCTGGCTCCAAGCTCATTTCAGGAGTTGTGGAGAGCCAGAAGGTCTCCCCTGAGCCTCCTTTGCTCCAGGCTGAACAACCCCAGGTCCCTCAGCCATTCCTCACCAGACTTGGTCTCTAGACCCTTCCCCAGTTTTTCCCAGCTTCACTGCCCTTCTCTGAACATGCTCTAGCACCTTGATGTCTTTCCTGCAGTGAGCGGCTCAAAACTGAACCCAGTACTCGAGTCGTGGCCTCCCCAGTGCTGAGGACAGGGGGAACCCTCCTGTGTCCCTCCTGGGAAGCTGTTGGCCACCCTCTGTGCGGCGGTGGCAACGCTGGAGTCCCTGCTGCAGCACGCCCATGTCCCCATGTGCCTCTGCTGGGGAGGAAAATGAGAGAAGCACAAAGCATGAATGCCTTGGGATTCTGCTGTTGAAGGCAGGTTTGAAAAACCAAACTCGCTGTGGTGCGTACAGACCCTCACCAACGCTGCCCTGTGACAGCAGCTATCTGTACTCATACTGGCACATTTCTTCCCCCTGCCCCGAGCCATCAGTGAGCAACTGAGAAGTTGGTTGGTGGTTCTCTCTGTTACTATGTCAGTCAGTCCATCTTGCTTTTATTATGGATAATGCCTTTCCCAAAATGGGAACAAGAGCTATTTTCTGTCCCTCCAAATACCATTTGTAGAGCTGGCTCACTACATGTCATTCTATGAAAAATTAATTCTATAAAGAAGGTAATAATTCCTCTACACTATTAAAAAATAAACCCATGTTTGTAATATCCTACTCCTCAAAAAAATCTCCAAGACAGAAACACAGCAACAGGATAGAATTAAAATACCCACTAAAAACGAAATTCCCAGAAAAAAAAAGTCTAGTCACTCTGGTTTTTTAATTGTGAGAAAAACGCAGGCCACCGTGCACATCCGTGTAAGGAGCCTCACACACAAGTAACAAAGAGGAGCCTGTTTTGGACCATTGGTCCTGTTCTTTTTTTCTTGCTGGACACGGCTGTATAAATTCCACACAGATTAAAAAGCACTGGACCATGCAATTATAATGGTGGAGGGCATTTAAAATGCATTTAGTGAGAAGAAACGTTGGTTGTTATCTCTCTCCTGATGTCAATATAGTCCATTACGTAACTCCTCTACTGTCACTTCATTTCAGATGTCAAAAATCCAGCACCCAGTGACAAGTTACAGGTCAGCAAAAGGGCTCCTTCTGATGAAGTCCCACTGAAGTACAGGACTCCATTTTGGCTGTTAGTTATTGTCCTTCAAACGGCCCAAGTCCTCATCTTGCATCAGTGCCAGGCAGCCTTGACAATCACATTCCCAGGATGTCTTCAGATCCTTTCTGTAGCCAGCCCAAACGCATCAACCAAAAGACCCAGGACCACCCCAGCTGGGAAGCCCACTGCCTGCTGCTTCAGCCCCAGGTCAGGCTCTACGGCTTGTCAGAAACCTGCCCAGGTCTCAGTTCTCTTCCGAGTCCACTTTGCTCAAGCTCTGCGATAACTGACATGTATTTAAATTCACTAGATCTGTGGTTGAAGGTCTCCACTAGTTCGTAGGTTTTGGAACGGTCGGTGGCATAGAAAAGCTGCACCTGGTTGGCCAGGCACTGTGCTTCGTGGACCACCTGCGAGTTACAACAAAGAAGGTGTTACCATCTGGTTTGGGTGTGCTTGAGCATCCTGTGGAGAAAGAGTCTTTAAACTGCAGTCCTGCTCATCAAATGACTCAATTCCAAGTCACCCTAGTTTAGCCAATCTCTTGAAAACCCACATCCCTCCTGCTCCTGACCTACTCTGAGCACCCTGCCTACAAACTACTCTCCCGCTGAGCATATACCTCAGAGGTCAAACAGGTCTTTCATGATGCCTGCCCACTCCAAGGCACTGGAGATGCACTGAAGTCCCATCTCCCCTCTTTTTTTGCACAAGTTCTATTATTTATTCTGAGACACAACAGGGCAAACACATCACTGGTGACTCCTCTGCAGATCCCTTCAGAGCTGGTGTAAGTAGGTCAGTTAGAGGTGGGATGCTCAGTCACCTTGTTCCACCACCAAAATCCCCAGTGCTATTAGTCCTAGCACCGTACTGTTGCTGATCTGCAACCAACAGTATGCCCACACAGAGAGAAAAGAGCAAAGCTGTGCAGAAACCAAACACAAAGCTCTGCAGTTCTCCTGATTTGACAAGTAGCATTATGCTTCAAAACAGTTTTACCTTTTTTAGCAGGTAGCAACAGCTTTCATTAAATTTGCTTCTGTTAATAAGAAAACCAGGAACATTTCTGTGTTGTTGTGTTTGGTTTTTTTTAAAACCATAAACTGTAATACCAAAAATAAGAGAAAAAAACTCCAACAACAACAGAGTGCATGAGCTGAAGTCACCAGCTAGACAAAGACTGATTATTTCCTTCTACTTTTGCCTGATATTGAGTAGGTGAGGTTAAGTAAGACCATCCTCTGGGCAAAGGTCATTCAAAGACTTCACTTGAGTGTGATTTTAATTGAAAACAATAGGAGTTGCAAGTATAAAAAGAAGGAAGCCAATGAACAGATTTCTCTTACCAAGAACTTGGAGTCCATTTCTGCTGTCATTAGTACTATCCCTTTTTCCTTCTGCAGCTCAGGATAATGGTACAAGACCAACTGGCTAGGAGCATTTTCACCTTGGGTCTGAGGGAGAGAAGAAACCTGTCAGCATCCCATAAAGAATTTCAGCTCTATTGCAGATTTGGAGGCTCAATCATGAAACTTTTCACATTAACTGCTATCAGAGGCAGTAACTTTTCAGGGCTTAAGGGTCACTGCTAATTAAAAGTTCACTATTCCTGGTATTTACAGAATGGATTTTCAGAGTTAGGGTGTTGGGGTTTTTTTGACTCAAGACCACTCTGCATCTGAAAGAACCCACGATTTCCAGACACTTCATTTTATAGCTCATTTCATCTCAATGCCAGTAGCTTTCATCTACTCGTATTTTAAGTAGCTTGCACAAACAGCTCTAGCTTGACTCTTGCTTCTGTTTTGAGACTGACTTGTACCTCATTCTCCTTTAGATTAGAGAAACACTTAGTACTCATAAATTTACTAATTTATCCACAATTAGTTTACCCACAATTAATGGCAGTTTTTCCCTCATAATTCAAGTTAAGCTCAACAACCTGTTTTTTAAACTGATTTAGCAAATATTGTATGCTGATATTACAAACTTCCTAAACTTCCATTTTGTTGGAGCTTTTTATTTCAACCACTCACCTGAATGTTTATTAGCGAGGTGAAGTGTAATTCGGTTCCTGACCACTGCCCCACAAAGAACTCATAGCCTTCTTTTCTTGGCAAAGCATACAGAAACTGCAGAGAAATTATAACTTCTAAAAAAACCTCTCTTTCATAGAAGAAAATGATGCCTGCGCCATACTGGCCTCCAGCATAAATGCTTCAGTGAGAGAACCACAACAGAAAAAGGGAGTTTCATTGCCCCACCAGAAGCAATATGACAGCAGGAACCAGACTTTAAAGCAGATAAGAAACCAGCATTACCTTATCAAGATTATTTCACTAGCAAATACATTGGTCCATAATTTTATCAGTATTATGTGAGATAGGAAAAGGAAAGGAAAGGAGAGTGGAGAACATTCAGACTCTGGCCTCTTCATTCACTTCTAGAAAACTAACAGTAGAAATGGTCAAATATAAGGAGCAACTGTAGAATCATTTAGGCTGGAAAAGACCTTTAAGATCAAGTCCAACCATTAACCCAGCACTGCCAGGTCACCACTAAACCATGTCCCTCAGCACCACATCTACATGTCTTTTAAATCCCTCCAGGGATGGGGACTTCACCACTGCCCTGGGCAGACTGGGCCAGGGCTTGACAACCCTTCCAGGGAAGAAATTTTTCCTAATATCCAACCCAAACCTCCTCTGGTACAACTTGAGGCCGTTTCCTCTTGTCCTGTTACTTGGGAGAAGAGACTGACCTCCACCTCTCCCCAACATCCTTTGAGGGTGTTGTTTCTCGAGAGCGAGAAGCTCTCCCAGTAATAATTCAGAGTAGTAAATCCTGTAACATCACCAGCTGTTCCAGAACAGGCAGCAAGCATTTTCTCTCTCAAGACTGACAGCCTGTTCAGCTCCATAGCTTTGGGACTTGTTCAACCATTTTCCCCACACTGAAGGAACAGACAACATGGGAGCAGAAAAACCTGCAGGATACCCGACTAAATGCCAGCACACCATACAGAAACCCACTAAAAGCTGGAAGTAACTTTCCAAGCTCCAAACAGCTCGGGATGCCAGATATATTTCACCCTGTTGTTGACAAGTGAAATACAAGGGCACAATCCAATAAAGTCCCTAACTCATATCTACAGAAGCACTCCTTTCAATGCAGTAAAGTCCAGCTACTTTGTTTTCATAAAGGGATGAAGCATTTAATTTTGTCTCAGCACAGGGAATTTGCAGAAAGCCCATGCCTCAGCACACAAATTACTGTAAAAACATACTACTTGCATCAGAAAACAATACTAGTCCAGCAGCATGTGGTGCAAATCCAAAGAAAGGTACCCGTTGGGTTGGCAGCTGTTCTGCAGTTTTAACTCCAAACACTAAGACAAGCATTTGAACACCTGGATTTTACTAATGGGGCTGATACAATGAGTCTGAACAAAGGAGGGTCAGAAGTTCATGAATTATTAGAGAGGAGAAACATGACACAGGTTCACATCCACGCACTGTGATTCTCTGCCATACGTACCGATGGACATTTCTGGGCTCTCCTCCATACTAAATCAAACTTCTCTGCCTTTGGGGAAGGAGAAAGAGAAATTCAATTTTTGTAATGCAAAACTGGATGCGAAGTTACTCAGAATCACCTCATTAACCTTTCCAGGTTACAGCTTCCCTCTGCAGAAGGTCTCACTGCAGCAACAGTGAACAATGAGTGTGTCGAAAAATGTATTTAGTTTTTAGTTACCTAAATACTATCAGTACCTCATTTTAACAATGCTGGCTCTAAGGCACAGCAGCAAACTCCTTGGATGCAAAGCTTTATTCTTCAGAGGTGAGGGGCCCACACTTCAGGCTCACGTTACATCCTCTTTCAGTAACAGCTCTGCTGCATCGCATGGTGGCAACAGTTGAGCAAGATGACATATTCCTGGCCCAAAACTGTGGATTTTGCATCATAATCACCTTTCTTCAATATTAAAATGCAGTCTAAGTATTTAATCAAATAACGTACTTATTGCTTGGGTTGATACTAAAGCCACAAACATATTTGGTCAGCCCTGATGAAACCTGACAATCTCATTCTCATGTTCTCTCCATTCTCCAAAATTTTTTGCCTGCTTTTCTCTTCTCTTCCCAGCACCGCACATTAATACCTACTCTGAGGTGTTCAAGAAAGAAAACGTGCCATTCATCAGCACAGAATTCCTCCATGTGTGCTTCTGAGCACTCAGAAATTACACAAGGCCTTTCTTCCAGCCAACAAAAAGCTTCTGGCCAAAGACATGTTTTTTTCTCTCCCTCCTCAGTAACACCATGAACTTCTTCCTAACGCACCTCGGATCTGGTTTGCATTAAAGCCTTAAAAGCCTCCAAAGCTCCTCTAAAATGTTGCACCACAGAACAGTGCCAGCCCCACTCATGAAAGACCTACACCACCTTAACTGAAGCCCCTGCCTTTGGCCCTCTGCTCCAGTAAAGGTGCAGCTGAAATTATTTTCACAACACCCACGTGTTGGTAAAACAGAAAAACAAAGCTGCTCGACCTCAAATCAGACGTTGCCATTTTCAGAGCACGCAGCGCTTCATACATTTAGAATACAGCCTCCCAGCCACTCCAGCTGCAGCTCAAAGGGCCAAGTACAACTGGAAATCAGACCCCAGGTCTAAATGAGGTTTCAAGAACTCAAGGAACACAGTTCATGCCCAGCTGTGAAAAGACAGATTTAAGAGATCAGGATCACACAGACTCTGAAGCAAAGAATAAAAAGAAATCCCAAAAGTGGGAAAAAAAAAAAATAAAAAGCCCTTTAGCCTTACGCAGATTAACAACAATTAACATCTGGTAAAGCTTTTAGGAAAAACAAGTATGATCTTATCACAGGAAGCAATTGCAATCAAAGACAGTGCTGCCAATCATTTTAAATGTATGAAAGAAAGTCCTAAGTGATAAGCCACGTGCAAGTTATTAGGCAAGTGCAGAAAAAGTACTAGATTTATTGAGACTGATGTGAGGTAAAAAAGGGATATATATTTTTTGGGGAAAAAAGCTTTCATTTGGGGCAATAAGACCACTCAATCCAGAAAGTTTGTTCTTGAAACCCCATTTTCCTTCAGTGCTTCCTTTTAAAAGCAACAGAATTACAGTTATAAAGGCAAGCTTTGCACACTGGCCTTGTATGTGCGTAGCCACAAGGGAACTACTTACAGGAATGACAGCATAAACCGTATCTTTTCCAGAAAAATACTGACTCCAAATCTGTAGGAAACAAAGGAGATGAGTTACAGTTATAATCCAGTATCTAGCAGTAATATTAAATGCTTTAAAACCAATTCGTCAACTAATCTTTGTAAGAACTTTGAGAAGTCATTTTTCTGATCAAGCTCAACTTGCCTGCTACTGCAACATGCTCCTCCTCAGGCTCCAAAGCACTGGTACCACACAGCAGATTTCAGCTAGGTGACAGAAATAAGCAGCGGGCTCAGAGGTGACTCAAGACCTCCTCGACACCAGACGCGCTGCTTACATTTGTCCCAACAATCACACTAATGATTTCTACAGGGTTTGAGTTTTGTTTGCTTTTAATAAAGAACATACAAACCATTTTCAACAGAAGACAAGACTTGGCATAATATTCCTCTATGTTGACAACCTTTTTCTTTGCCACAGCAGGATGGCAATACCTACATAAAAGCTCAAAGTCCTTAATTGAATGGACAACTACAGACAAAAACCCCCAAGTTCAGGGCTTTTCCAGTTGCTCTTCCTCAGCCCCATGTAACTAATGAGAGTTGTCAGTAAAATGTTTAATCAATGAAACAGAAATACAGGAACCTGAAGGGTGCTCATGAGTTACCAAATCCACTCCCTGCTATAACTGGTGGCACACCATCCCCTGCAGAGCACACAACCACGTCTGTAACGTTCTCTGCTGCCAGGAAAGCAGCTAGGTTTCTCCTAAGTTCTGTCAGAAGGCTCCTCACGTGCTGCTCCCTTGAAATGATCATGCCTACAGAGTTTCTTGGCATCCAGTTCGATAAGGAAAAAACATCCAACCAGATCCACCTCAGGCTACATCAGAAATGGGCAACAGATGTGGCTTAGAACCAAAAGGCAATACAGTGCCCAGCCAAGCAGGTATCAGGGAGGATAACTTGATTCATGCTGTTCTTCAAACAAGCAGACAGAGCCACCCTCACCCTAACCAACTTCAGTACAAGCATGCAGGCTCCCGAATGACAGATAAAGCAAACAAGGGTACAAGGTGGCAAAAGCTTTTGGTTTATTCCTGCAAAACAGACGTGGCACAATCTGTATGAGCTACTGCTAGGATTTCCCTTTACCTGGCTCCAAACCTGATGGGAGCTTACTAATGCCGAGTCAACTGCTACACACTAAATGGCAACAATAAGAATTAAGAGTAAAGAGAGATTTTGAGCAATCAAGTACAGATATATTCTTCATCAGGCAAGTACATCCCAAGTGGACTTACCCAGCTGGAGAAAACAATCTTCTACTATTGACAGGCACGTGAATGGGCTTTTCACAAATGCACATCCATATCTGTTTCTTATTTTTCAGTCTAAGTGAAATTTCCACCCTTCCCTGTAAGTTACTGTTAAGCACAGATACAGAGCAAGCTTCATTCCATTAAAATCCATCACCTGTTTTATCTCGTCTGCTGATTTTTCTTTCACCATCTCAACATTAAGAATTGAATCAAGCGTCTGCAAGAGAAAGCATAAGGAATTTGGCATGATGACAGCTCTCACATGCAGGTAAGAATCAAGAATGAATGGATGAAATTACCAAGAACAAAAATCAGGTTAGAGGAATTCCATTGCATTTACAGTGTGACTTAGTCCTCTGAATTGCCAAAGGAGCTAGGAAATCCTAAGTAGTAAAACACTGTGAACTGGATTCACGCCCTGAGGCAGAACAGAGAACATTCCATCAGGACACAGAACAAACTCTGCTCCAGCTGCGCAGCTCTCTACTGGAGCTGAAGGAGGAGCTGCAGCTTTTCACCTTCAGCCCTCTCAGACACATGCTCTGCTGGTGGATTTACACAAAAAGCTTGCTTTAAGAATGTGGAAGAGAATCCTAGAAGCATTAAGGTTGGAAAAGTCCTTTAAGATCAACAAGTCCAACCAGCAACCAAACACTACTACAACCACTTAACCATGTCCCCAGGTGCCACATCTACACATTTTTTTGAACTGCTCCAGCGAAGGCAACCCCACCACCTCCCTGGGCAGCCTGGGCCAAGGCCTCACCACTCTTGCAGGGAAGAAATTTTTCCTAATATCCAATCAAAACCTCCCCTGGCACAACTTAACCCCATTTCATTGCTTTCTGTCGCTGGTTACCTGGGAGAAGAGACCAACCCCCACCTCACTCCAACCTCCATTCAGGGAGTTGTAGACAGCAATAAGGTCTCCCCGCAGTCTCCTCTGCTCCAGACTAAACAACCCCAGGTCCCTCAGCCGCTCCTCACAAGCCATGTTCCCCAACCCCTCACCAGCTTCATGCCCTTCTCTGGACCAGCTCCAGCCCCTCAATGTCTTTCTTAGACTGTGGTATCCAAACCAGACCCCAGTACTCAGCTGTGACCTCACCAGTGCCGAGTATAGCGGCAAATAAAACATTCTCTTGTCCCTCTGCTGGCTGAGCTCTGGAAATATAACTACACACTGTAAAGGCAGCTTAGCCCTTTCCATTTACTGCTGGCAGCATTCAGTACAGATCCCCAATCTAGCAGCAATATCCAGTGTGTCAAGGTACAGGAGAATAAGGTCCAGAGTGCTGGCAGTTTTAAGACTGAACATGATCAAAACAGTAAGTGAAAACCTTATACTCCAAATGCATCACAAAGCAAATTAGCCTTATGTTAGAGACCTTGGCTGAAGCACTGATGGTAGCAAGAGAAGTTAATCTACATCCTTAGTTTGCCAGCATGTCATCTCCTGGCACTTCAGCTTGTTCCTCTTACCTTATCTTTTGTGAAACCTCCCTTTGATGTCTTTGTGCCCAAGCCTTCGGCCTAGAAGAAAACACGCTGCTTTAGTTTTCATGGCTGATGCTTGACTACCATTAATTTGCCTTCCCTGCCGTGCAGAATATGCCAGCTGACAAAAGGCTTCTGAGTAGCAGCTCAAGTTTAAGACACATGAACATCACTGCAGTGCATTTTTAATAAAGTATTAGAATTAAATACAAAGATGAATAACTTAATGTACATTTTTTATTTCAAGGCCAGAAAGGATTAGTTATTATTGATTGCTATTACTAAGTATTACTGAACAGTTTTCTTGCATTCACTAAAAAAAGATAAATGCAAGATTATGTCATTCTATTTGGCCAAACTAATCTGGAACTAATTAAACACTTAATAGAATTGTCTAAAACAATATAACAATATACCAGAATACAGAGTGATACTTTTAGCCACCAGAAAGTGAAATTCTGGGACTCCTTACTAACAGGAATGCTGTATGTTTGCAGCATGACGTTGATCCTATAGAAGTGCCATTATGGCTTTAGTAAATGTTGGTTATAGAGAAGGTCTGTCTTGCCTTTTGCTCCATGCATCTGATGAATTCTCCTTGGCTGGAAGATCCCACAGGCTGCTTCTTCACTTCGTTCCTCTTTTCCATACGGGATTCAAACACATCTGGACTGGATCTGAACCGGAAGAGGGGCTATTAACAGTACTGGGGGATTAACATCGTTTGGCCTTTTAAAGTGTTTACTGTGATACTGATTCGCGTTCTTAGATTAAAATTTTTATTTCTCGTTAGTGAAACGATCTCTCATCAACCAGTCACGGGGGGGTGAAGACACACAGGACTCTTACGGAGGTGGCTCCAACTCCATGTGGATTTGAAGGCAGCATTTGGCCTAAACGGATTAATTTTGCCACAGGGGAACATAGCTAAAACCGACCAGTCTCCTCCCAAAACCCTCGGCTCGCCCCGCACCCCACTTCCCGTCCGCCAGGGCGCGGGGCCCGCACCTCCGCAGCTCCTGGATCTTGTGCCGGTACTTCCCGTAGAAGGGGTTCTCCTCCAGCGCCGCCTCGCCGGGGCCAGGGCCGGGGCCC